TTGAAAAAAAATTTCTTTCGGTATTCATTAGGATTGCGCGGTACACGTTGCTTGAAAAATTTTTTCATCGTAAGATCTCAAAACTAGAAACTTCAAGCTTTAAAATGCTTTTTTTAAAACTCCAATACGACCATTTTTGAAGGAAATACAGCCACTTGAAAAACGTTAAAAAATTTGCAATTTTTTTTTTATCCTTTAATTTTTTCCACTAGTGTATTTTGAAACTTAAAATAATTGATAAGGTGTTGAATATCGAAATTGAATTAAATTAAATTTAACATAATGTGACGTAGTTACAATGTAAATCGATTGGTACACAGATATGTAACAATAAAATTATAACGAGGGAGTGTAAATGAAGCTTAATCGTGGATCTCATAAAGGGTTGCAGTTGAAGAGGGGAAGAAAATATAAAAGAATTCGATAGGGACCTGGTATGGGTATTGGGAGTGCGGCAGGTAAACGGGAATGTATGAATTCAGGGGGGCAGTTCTCGCGTGCGAACGGATTTCGTCACGGTCAAAGAAATCCGGGCCTATTGTGAAGATTCCCCGGGGAAGAGAAGTCGTGAGTTGATCAAATTGTGAAAACAACGACTCTAAGGTTCCATGGTTGCCGTAATTAAAATAAAACCGGGGACGTGGTGCCGGTATTTTGTCGACAATTTCACAAAGGGAGGAATCAGATGAGGTGGAGGGTGCGGGGGAGGGAGGATCCTCTATAATTTGCACCTCGTCATCATTGGAGGAAGGAGTGGAAGATGGCGAGTTTTCAAACTGTTGTTCGTTTCGTAAACGAGCGTGGGGAGATGGGGGAGAAAGAGGATTTCCATAGGAATCATAGATGGAGATTGCTGGAGATCCGGGAATTAATAGATTTTCATAAGAAGAAGGTTTAACCAATCTCCTATGTCGGAAAAATTATAAGGAGGAGAAGACCCGGGAGAAGAAGAACGAATTGGAAGCGAAGGGTTAGAATGCGGAGGGGTATCAGGAAAGATTCTCTGCGTTGGAGCAGAGGAGGAAGGAGAGGGCGATGGGGAAACTTGAGGTGAAGGTAACTTTTCTGGGGATGGAGATCGGGAATTAGAATTTGCGCGAATCAGGCCCGCGTGTTCCGCATCTTGGAGGATCCGGCGCCACTCCTCAAAGGTTTGGTCGAGCAATTGCCGCGCATTTCTCCGGGCTTGCTGGCGGGATCGCCTAGGTTGATCTGCGAAACAGTTAAGCGAGTGAACTCTCGGTTGTTCACTATAAAGAGTATAAGATAGTACCGAAACCGAGAAGGGGACGCGAAGTGGCAACGAAAGATTTTATGACTTACTGATTTGAAAACTGGTGTCTAGCTGGGGTTGCAGTTCCAAAGGCCGCTTGGCTGTTCAAGTTGTCTGCCCAAGGGTCAATCGGCGGTGTCAGGCGGTCACTTCAACTTAAACGCGCACTGACTCTAAAAAGATGACTGATTTCTGACGGACGTCAGAGCGATTGAATAAACTCAGGATTAAAAATGTCAAGTTCGGGAATGTCTCGGCTTATATAAGGAAACTCATGGGTGGTGGCAATTTGAGGAAAAAATGAATTTGGTTGGGAGATTCGATTTGGGATCACTCCGCCCGTTTTACAGTTATCAATTCTTAAAGCTACCCATTGGTGAGCCACCTCAGATGCGTTGCCGAATTTTAGGTTAGATCGCACCTTGTTATTGGTGGGTCCCTGATATGATTCTTATTTGGTAGGTTGTTTATTGGTAGTTGTATTTATCGGGCCAAATTCATTTGATCCGACCGCGGCAAAATCAATGTTTATTCCGAACGTGAGATCTTGAATTTTTCGCTGGGCTATCTTGTCCTTTGATAGGATTTTATGACTCAACATGTGGGCTGTTTATTTAATAATATTATTCTATTCTATGGAATTTGGAGTTTTCCTTTCGGTTTTGTCATGAATTTAGCCCAAACATTCTGTTAGTCTTTTTTTTAAAAGGTACGTTTCGAACTTAGGTTTTTGTCGCGAGTAGATTATGTAATGTGAGATACAACTTATTTGTTTTTTGGTAATAAAGATCCCTCACATTCGGTTCCATACTGTTTGCTTAAAGCGAATTCTTCCCAAGGAAACCGACAACGGTCAATTTCGTTGGGTCGAGGTATTTTGTTGATTAATAGCCGTTATTATATTTAAGAATTTACCTTATCTTGTGTTCACAAAACAAAGAAATCGTGGAGTCCACCGGACGTAACAATTATATATGAATATCTAAAGATTACATAAATGTGATATCATTATCTGAAATTATGTGCATGCAAATAGTATTATTAATTCTACAATGTTTTATACTTCTTTGTAATATATTAAAATATAGTACGAAATATTATAGGCAAAATGACTAACATTTAACTCTAGGCTTTCGAATTCAAAATTTAACGAAATATAATGTGATAAAGTTTAATTAAAGATTGAATTCTATTACATAGTGCAATTATGAATATTATAGAGAGTATCGTATTAAGAGAATATAATATTACAGTAAAAGGAAAGTGCAATATTGGTCAATAATAATAACTCAAGGTATATGGTGTATAACATGACACAGTAAATAAGGTGGAATGAAATATCAATAATTAATAGTAATAAGGAAGTCGATGATAATAAAGAATGGCACGGAATATATATATATATATATATATATATATATATACTGTCACGTGCTCCCGCGAGTTAAGTAACTCACCTGAGCACGGATCAAACAAGGAGGTGGGAATCGCGCACGATTCCCAGGAGGGAAGGTGACAGCCCTCCGGAAGGTGTCCTTCCTGCGACCGACGAGGAGCGGCGACGCGAAATTTGGGCGCCAGACGGGCTCGGCGGCACGTCACTCGCGAAACGCGAATTTCCCGCGATAATGCGACAGCAGAAAGCGATCGTTCACAGCGCTAGCCGAAATTCACCACCGGACGCCGCTCCCGAAGTCGATCACACGAAGGCCGGCCGGCTCTACCTAACGGCAGAGGGGCAGGGCGAGACCGAAGGGCGAAGGGATGGCGCGGGGCGGGCGAAAGAATTTGTACTCCAACCGATTAATAATAAGAAATTAATAACAGATTTATTGGCCGTTCGGAGCGGCAATAAGAAACGGTGAAAAGAAAACGAAAAGAAAAGTAACACAGTGTAATAAGACGAATACGGGCGCGACGCGACGGGTACAACGCTAGTAGGCGCGAATAATCCGGCGGCACGACGAATTCCCGCGTACAAAAGAAAGAGACAAGCAATAGACTGGAAATTCGGCCGGAAACGAGAAGAAACGCATTAAAAATTAGTCGGCGCGATGATACAATAACGGACGGGGCTCGGTACGACGCGAGTACCGAGGTCTATCGACCACAATTATTTACGCGAAAATCGATCGTGAATCTGCGCGCCCGAGACTTGTACGAAACGAAGTCGACCCATAATTGACACACACCGATAGGCAAGGCAATCACGCG